TTTTTTTTTTTTTTTTTGAGAGAGAGAGAGAGAGAGAGAGAGAGAGAGAGAGAGAGAGAGAGAGAGAGAGAGAGAGAGTTGTAGTTATAATAATAAATATTATAGTATTATAAAACGAAAGGAAATGAAAAAAAAAAAAAAAATACAACAAATTTTTTTTTAACCCTCAATGAAAGAGGAGAGAATTCTTTTTTATTTTTTTTTTTTTTTGGATGTTTTTACCAGAAAAATGTAAATTTTTTATTTTTATTTTTTGTGTTTCTTTTATTATGCAAATCGTTTTTACCTTGCAGAAAAAAAAGAGAGAAAAAGAAGAAAGAAGAAGAAGAAAAAGATTTTTGTGTGTTTTTACAAAGGAGTGAGAAGGGCCACCAAACTAAATTTGACCTTCGATTTCAATTAACAACACATTGTAAGTCTGCAAATTTATTTAATTTTTTTTTTTTTTTATAAATAATATTGTCAAATATTTTCTTTTATTTGTTTTCATAATGTTTTTACGGTGCGTTACATTTTAAGAAAAAATTGTTGAGTTTTTACATTGTTTTAAAGTTTTTTGTGTTTTGTTTTTTGCTGCTGTCTTTCATATTGTTAGAGACTTGTTGTAGGACAATCATCTAGCAAATCTCACTGAAATAATATATGAAAGGATGCATTTTTACAATTCTGACCATATCAAAATGTTAGTCGCTTGAAAAGGTGAAGAGTGTTTGAAGGAATCATTGAATTTTAGTAATTTAGAGTTTGTTAAGTTGAAAATAAAGTTGTCATCGACATTGTTTCATCGTCAGTACGAATCGTTAAAGAAATGCACGTTTTCAGTTGGTACAATTATTTTTTCGAAGGTTTGAAAAATTAACTCATCCGTAACATTCTTTTAAATATCTCAAGTGAAACGGACATTTTGTTAACGCGCGATCCTTTGACGTGATATTCCGATGCGTTTACGATTGAAACGTTTACACGCACGCACATTTTTTACTCCTTCGCTTTTACGGTTCTGCAACTTGTTTTACAGTTCCGTACTCCACCAACACCTGGTCCGATTGTGTGCGTGCATATCCCTGATTTTTCAGGTTTTATCACAAGTCCAACTGAGTTTTATTTCCCTTAAATTTTTTTAATTTTCTTCTCTATTATGTGCTCTTTATTTATCAAAAATATTTTTGAGGTAATATTGAATTCGTTTTAATTTGTACTCGAAAAAAAAAAAAAAAAAAAATTATACGTCATCTTTTTGACATTGTCAATCACGTTCATTAAATTTTTTAATAAAATTAATTATTTTTCTTTTAGTAGTTTCTTTCTTTAGGAAAAAAAAAAAAAAAAAAAAAAAACAGAAACTTATTTATTGAATTTTTTGAACTGTATATTCCCACGTTTATAAAATTTTAAACATTATTAGGGTGTTAGGTAAAAAATTAAAAAAAAACAAAATTTGTATAATAATATTCAAACAATCTTTATAATTTTATATTAGGTATCAAAAAAAGTCATACAATTAAATAATTTACTACTCTATAATAAGTACAATAAAAAAATTTTATATTTATAACCGGAATTAACCCATTTTAAAGTTTTATACTGAATTTAATACTCTAAAATTCACATAAAGGTACCCATTTAAAAAAATTTAAACATTAAATATTTCTTTTTTTTTCTTATAATATTCAGTAAATCTAATAAATGCATAATTTAAATAATCGAATTGAATCGATGAATGTTCGGCTTGAATGAGTGACCAAAGTCCCCATAAAAAATGACTAGCTAAAGTAAATTTTTTGACTTTTAAAAACATGGATTCGATTTCCTCATCGTTTACCTCGACGTTTTCAATTTTTTTTTTATTTTTTATATATTTCAAAAGATAAATTCGAATCCAATTCTTTTGAAACGGTTCGTTTGGAAACAACGAATAGTCAACGTTGTCCATATCTAAAAAATTAAAAAAAAAATTGATTTATCATAAAACTTAACGAAATAACAAAAAATCATCCAAATGATCCCAGAATAATAATAATAATAATAATAATAATAATAATAATTTTTTTGACAAACCTGCAAATTCATTAAAATGATTGGCAATGTCGAAGGATTGATAATTACAATCAGCATATTCATAATCGATAAATGTAACTGAATTTTTTTTCAAATTGTGTATTATATTACTGAGCAAGAGATCGTTATGGCAAAAAACAATGGAATCATTTAAAGAATTGAGGTTTTCTTTTAAAAAATTAAATTCTTTCATAAAATTTGATCTTTTCAATATTGAATCTTGAAACCTATACAAAAAAAAAAGGAATTTTCTTATTCTCATCGTTAACTTTTTTTAAAAAAAAAAAAAATTATCGATAATACTCACCTTTTTTCTTTTAAATTGTCTGAAAACTTTTCAGGTATGTGCATTAAAAATTTTTCAATAATATTCCATAATGCTGGCTCTTTATCATTCGTAGATGTTTTTACAGAATGCAAATCGGCTAATTTTTGAGCGACTAATGTGTATACATTTTCCAATCGACATGTAACTGTATTTAAAGTATCACCAACTGTATATTCATAAACTATCCCATTAGTAAAAGTACCATACAAAAGAGGAGCCAAACCATGTAAACATAGAAATTTTATGTTTTCAGTTTCCTTATTTCTATCGATGAGCAAATCAGTTTTATTTCCATATACTCGTATGAGTAAAACTTCATTTTCATTTTTTGAATGAAAACATCCGAGAAGTTTATTAGTGTGTCCTGTTGTAAAAACCTAAAATGATTGTGAAAGTATATTTAAGAGACATTATAATATTAAACTAAAATAGATCATTTTAAATTGCATTCAAATCAAACAATTGAATAGTTTTTGTCACTAAATTATAAATTTGATTGATTTACTAACAACTTCTTGTTTTAATTTTGAGACAAAATTGAAAGTTTATCTATCAAACCTTAAACCTTATATCAGATAAATCCCATTTTGGTCTGAGTATTGACAAAATATCCTTAGCACCTTGAATCAATGAATTTTCTTCAATTGAAATATTTAAATGAGGCACTTCCATTACAGAAAATGATTTCAAAGGAAATAAAATTGTTTTTCATTATTGACCTTGATGTAATCAAATAAAAGGGTCACATGTTAACAGAGTCAAGTTTGTTAAATTGAAAAATTAAAAATCCTAAAAAACAAACAAACAAACATCATCATCATCATCATCATTTGAAAGTGTTTTAAAAAATCAAAAATAATAATAATAATAATAATAGCAAATCATTTCATTTCAAATTTACAAAAAAAAAAAGTCTTTTATTTACACGATTTTTGAATAGCAGGTGAGAAAAAACATTTTTCGGATTTTTATTTAATTATTATTATCGTCAACTGATTTGTTACCATGCTCGACATTTTCCTAACAGGTTTTTAAAAAAAAAATTAAAATGAGTTAAAAATGTTGAAAGTTGTGCAATACTTGATTCCAAATCTCATTCAATTTTTTATTTAATTAAATTCTAATAGTTAAAAAGGATATTTAATACGTTGAAGAAAAAATTATTAAAATATTTGCATTTTACTTACTTTAAATAAAAAAATACTGTTAAATTTAAAAAAAAAAAAAAAAACCATAGAGTATATTAATTTTATTTTTTGCAAAAAAAAAAAAAAAAAAAAAATATAATTTATCAGTACGATATTTTTCGTTTTATCTATTCTGATAAAAGTAAACTTAATTCCATTTAATATTGATAGTATTTGAATTTTTTTTTTTTTTTTTTTTTGTTCAAGTATAAGTAAAAACAAAAATGTCGAATCAAATATAAAAAATTGGAAATTAAATTATATTAAAATCTTATAGGTCTTAAACTAAATAACAATAATGGTATTTTTATATAATAATAACTGTTTAAACACAATTGGCTCTTAAATAAATATATAACGGAACTTGTTAAAAATTTAAATAAGAATAAGAATAAAGACCGTTATTATTTTGTAAAAAAAAAAAAAAAGAAACAAAAATTCCAATACCGATAATTAATTTTATTTAAACCTTGAAAAAATTATTTTTCAATGTAAAAAAAAAAAAACAAAATTCTCTATTAATAATAGGTATTAGAATTATTTTTGCCATAAGGCCTAAAAAAAATGATGGAGTTACGACGGTTTTTTTTAAAATAATAAACGAACGTTTTCGCGTTTTACAGGTCTGAAATGATTGAGATTCCGGAACACAATTCAAATTTTATTTACCTACGAAAGCGGGAAGTTAATAAAACCGGTTAATGACGTAGTTGAAGTCGCACGTGGTCCGTGACCTTCGTTGCCTCTCCAAGTCGGCAGTGGTTTGCGATAACCCGATCCTGATCTCACGATATTATAGTACTTGTAACTTTGTTTCATTACCGTACTAATTTTTTTTTTTTTTTTTTTTTTCTCCGGACCAAAGTTTCACGTAGTTGTCACCGCTTTCATTAATTAATTAATTTTAATTAAAATATGTAAGTTATTATTTATATTATTATTATTATTATTAAACGACATGATATTTTGTTATTAATTTAAAAAAAAAAA